GGACAGAACATGAATTACATATTGCAAGATTTAACCTATGGCTGTAACAGTGGGTGTAGATTGCTTTAGAATTCAAACGAAGAATGCGTGCAGAAAGACCATTGATATGCCCTGCAACAGCCCCAGCTCCATCATATCCCTGACCTCTGCAATCCTTGTACCTAGTGCATGGTATTTCATCTGTCGTTATATTTTATAACTGTTTGGGACTCTTACAATTCATTGACCTGTTATCAATTAGGATCATGGGATTGAGACGAAAATCTTCACGATCATAATTAAAGATAAGTTAGGTGAGCCAGCTGGTAAAAGCCGTTGAGTCTTCAGTGGTCTGGGGACAAGTAAGATGATTACATGAATCTTAATTTTTTTTAAATGGAAACATCGCTTTTAAATGTTGGTTAAATGTTGGCAATAATATAAATAAATATTTACGAAATGAACTTACATGAAAATAGTTTTATAACCATTAAGCTAGTTAAGTAAAGGAGAAATACATTTTTATAGGTTTTATTATCTGTGGATTTTACAATGATTCACAGTTTGTTTATCATCAACCATTCAGGGTGAGTCGGTAGTGACAGTATGTATTGGTTTTATATTTGTTTGCTCTCAAAGCTCTTCTGTTGGTTTTGTACGTATAATATAAATAAAATTAATAAATATTTACGAAATGAACTAACAGGAAAGTAGTATGTAATCATCAAAGTTAGTTAAGTAAAGGAGAAATATATTATTATAGGTTTAGTATATGAAGATATCACAAGATTCACAGTTTGTTTATCATCAACGCTTCAATGTGAGTAGATATGATATATATGATGATATATATGGGTTAATGTTTTTTATAGATCAAATTCCCTCTCTAGGCCCTTGTTGATTTGTTAGTTTACACCGATCATTTGTGCAGTGTAGGAACTTGTGTTTGATTGCTGTGGATGGCAGTCGTTTGTGGCTGTTCAAAAGACATCAGGCCATGGAAAAATAATTAGTTTAGAAATTTTAAGCATTTATTATGTGCTATTGTTTTCTTTACCTGTAATTATATCTAACTTTATTAAATCAAGTATTTGCTTATTTAATTTCAGGCCTATTTTCCTGAAAACATTCCTCTGTTGTGAAAAAATACTTTTGAAAAATTTGTACCCTTGCTGGCCAGAGTTGGCCAAAGATCATATTTTCACATAAAGGTGCACCTGATTTTTGTATTATTGAAAAGAGAATTCCTTACATAAGTTCACCTAAAGCTGTTTCTTACTAATAGTTTTCATTAACACATTATTTTGTTATGCAATCAAAAAACACCTCTATTATCTGCAAATGGGCTCCGAAAAAGTATATAATTGTTGGTTTCCGTTATTATCATGCTAAATTCATGCGTATTTTTCATAATTTGGACACAGTCACTGAATGAAAATGTATCTGCAATGAGTATTTTTAATGTTTGTTTACAATTACTCATTACTGTCTATCTAGTTTGCACTAATATTGAGCTGTACAATTTTCTGGAAGAGGTCTCACTGGTCTGTTTGCAACATTGAAGGTGAGTTTTTTTATTTGTCCGAGAAATTAGGCTATGCAAAACAAGAGAGTGGCAGACATCATGTCTGTGATGACACTCTATGCACTGCCTTTTTATCATATTTCTTATTTACAAAAAGTTCAAACATTTTTTTCAATCCCCCACAAATAATGACAATTCTGTTGTTAGTATCTGGAGTTCAAAGTATCATGACAAAACAAGTTGTCAATCAATGAATTCAATGTTTCAAAATAGTAATATTGTTTAAACAGAATTTAAATATCAGGTCTTGAAGAATAGATAAATGGGATCAAACATAACTCATATTTCATCGCAATTGCCGGATGGTCTCACAACAATTTCGAACTGTTAAATTTATGCATACTAGAAAATTCTTATCCTGTGTTAAAGTGACTGCAATTCCACTTGTTTCAATCTTTTTGCGTCTCCTGTTTCACAGGCTTCCCACGTGTACGCAAGCGTACCTATTTTTGTTAATGCATTTTGTCAAATTTACAGAATGTCCGATGTTTTTTCATGAGCAGTTGCAAGGTCAACAAAATGGTGACAGAAACGATAAAGTAAGGATTTTTTCTTGCTGCCCAAGCCATCATCCAGTATGATATAAAGAAAATTCCAGTTGAATAATTTAAGAAACAGTCCATTCATAAACAATTTGTGTTTTGCTATAGGTAAATTTACGGAAGATTTATTGGAATTAATGCTTATTTGTAATAACTGTTTATTTGTAGACGATACTTTTTTCAAAGACATTTCAACTTTACGATTGTGAGCATACTGAAATGCGGTCATTTACGAAATCTGCTTAGAGAAATCTCCATAAAGCATGTTTTTCCAGCTATGATCTTTTGAATTTGAAATGCTACATTGCAAAAGAAATATTTATTTCTCTCAAGGTCACGAGCTGCAAAAGAAGGCATTCGTGCTGTCAGACAGAAGAAAAACGGTGAAGAAGTGGAGGTTGTTGAAACTTTTAAAGGTGAGAGAATTTTTACAAACATAGTTGTAACATGTTCTTTACTGGATAAAAACTACACGTTGCTATTCTAGATTGCATTTGTGAATTCTTTCAATACCCTAATAACCATTTTAAGAACATTTCACGCGTCAGGCGTTTGATTCAATCGCCAATAGTTTCTATTGGGTTTTTCTATAAGATAGAAATTCAGTCTCTTGGCGATTAAATCTAACTTCCAATGCCTAAATGAAAAACTCTTAACATTTTGTTATTACCTTTATACAAAACAAAAGACTTCACAAATTCAATTTAGTTTTTTTGAGCGTAACAGTCTTTAATTCCATGTACAAATCCCCAATTTCTGTTTTTAACACATATCTTTCAGTCTCTTATTAGTTACAGTTAACAAAAAATAATTTTGAACATTTACCAGGAAGAATTCGATTAGAATGATAATATGAAAATAAAAATAGACAAATTCTCGGTATCGCTAGTATTGAATGAACAAAGATCTTTTTCTTGTTATTTTAAATAGTTGCATCTTAAATAGTTATGCAATGAAGTGTGTCATTGACACGCGTAATATCACATTTTTCAAAAATTCTTGCATTTTAGATGAACGAACTATTCTAAATTCTAATACTGTATATCTTACATGCCAATACCCTTAAGGTTTTTTTCTTCTCATTAGGTGTTGCATGGTAGCGCCTTGTTTGATTCGGTTGTCCAAATTTAGAATCTCCTGTGTTTTTTTTTTAAATGTAGTCGACTGCAATCATTGGTTAATCACAAACATTAAACAGTTATACTATAAAACGTTCCATTTGCTGTGATTACAATAAGCGGATTGTGTCTATATTTATGCTTTTAAATATCTTGGTAGAGATTTGTACGGAAAAAAGTAACTTCCAATTACGTTCACATTGACAAAGACACCATTGCCTTACTGAGTTTAAGGTGTCCCTGATTGTGATAGCTTCATCATAATTGGTGAAAGTAAACCATTGCACTTAATTTGTTTTAAATCAAGTTTATAAATATGAAACTTGACGATAGTAGTCTTTTCTATACCTTGTTATAGCTACCTTGTTGCTGTGACAATTTTTTGTGATTTTGTTGTTTTGTTGGGTAATCATAATTTTTAGAATCTGTGAATGATAAGCTTTCCCCTAAGATGTAGCTACTTTGCTATTATTATGATAAATATTTTTATTTCGACAATAATTTGTAAAAAAAAACACCCTTATTTGGCGTGCATCAAATGATTATCGTAGATTTTTGACGATTAACTTCATACAGTTGGATGTTTTAAAACATTGATACAAGTAACGTTTAACAAGGATGAGTACAATTTCTGAAAATTTTCTTCCTGCGTATGTTTAATTTTTATAAATTTTCATCTATGTTAAGGCTAATAATCACGGAAAGTTTCTTTATGGACGTACGGCGTTGAAGGTTATGATGTTATATGTAATTTAAACGCCTTAATGATTAAATATTAAAACTGTGCAAGAATTCTATTTTAATCTTTTCATTTCAACGAGTGAGAAAGACGAAGATTTGATAAATATGTATTCATGATTGCAGAATTTCCTAAGTTCGATATATTCACCTTGGATAATACAGAATTTATAGAGTTGCCTTCAACGAATGAAAAGTTACTTCATGGATGACGGTAAGTTATATACAATCAAATTTATGCAAGACCCTCTTAAATTATGTGTAAGCTATACATGCAAAAATATGGATATATTTTCCAACATTTTATCGTAGAACATACATACACTTTATTGATCTTTTTACCTCGATAATTGTCGTCTAAAAATTTTATGTCTTTATGCACCAACTATAGGTATATCTTTAAGGTTTTTTTTGAGTCTAATTTTATTGACTAATATTTGAGTCTAATTGACAGAACGTTACGAGTCTAAAGGTGAAGGAACAGAATATTACCCCGACTATGAAAGTAAGTTATACTATCAAATTTATGTATAAGGCACTTATAAATTGTATCTTCCATACGTAGTGATATACTTTCTAACATTCAACATATACTCCTTGATTATGCTTTTCCTTGTAATCTCGTCATCTCAGGATATTTTACGTCTCCTTGCGCCCAATATTTTTAAGCATTTTCGATTCAAAATCCCTTAATGAGATTGTTTGTGTAAGATAATAATAATATCCATAATAACTATAAAAATAGCTTAAGAAGCACTTGTGCAAACTGGATGATTTTCCAAAGCTATAATTCACAAAGTTTAGGTGTTGAACAACACAAAATAAGTCAGTTTTAAGTTAATGTCGTCATCAAAGAAGAGCTTTTGACAATTCAGATGAACCTTCGGCATACAAGTTTCAGGCACCGCGGAGGATCTATAATTGGGGGGGGGCTCATATTCATATATTCATGTTGTAATCCTTAGAAAACAATGGATTTCAAAAGATCTTAAGCCTGTATGTATGAATATATGAATATTAGGCCCCCCCCCCCAATTATTGATCCTTTGCGGTGCCTGTTAATTATATGTTCCTTGTCATTTTGAGTAAAAACGCGACAAAGTGTTGGATGTGAATAGATCAAAATATTGTATCATTCTGATTGCAAATTGTATTACAATGCGAAATAATATTGGTCAATTTTGGTAAATCTCAGCAGAAACAGATCCGTCCGCCATTTTTTCTGATCCGTTCTGCCGTTCAGTGGTTTTATTTGTTTGAATTTTGTTTCCTGAAATAAATTTAGAGGAATTTGTAAAGATGCGTTCTGGCGGCCCCCATATGCCTTCTGGTAGTGGTGTCTCCCCTTAAATCATTCGTGGGGTGTTCCCCCCTTGCTGTACCCCAGCCACAACGCCAATGGTTTGGTGTTTCATAGATATACATAGGATCGATACATAGGCGTAGGAACAGAGTTAAATTTGGGGGTGGGTTTAAAGTCGACGAGTATAGTATATACTCCATCTTTATTTTTAGAAGCTTTAGGGAGTCTAGTACAAACATTGAAAATGGAGAAAGTTATGAAACCTTAAAAATTTAGTTGTACTTCATTACAATACACAAAGTGCAAATATTGTTCAAAAATCAATACATTGCACAAAACAAACGAATTTAACTAATAGCCTAAACGATTGGTCGTACTAGTTGCAAGCTACGAATTCTAGTTCAATGTCAGACTAAGATGTTTTCACTCTCTGAAGAGTTAAAAATGGACCTTTGTTGTATGCATTAAATGGGTACAAAGAAGTTTATGAGCTTTACTACACATACAAGTGTAGTATAGTTATTATTCAAATTATTAGTATTTCGTACGTCATACTACGTATATTATAATTAAGTAATGATCTGTATATAAGTAACATGACTAAGCAATAAAAGGGAGAAATCTCACAATATTACATCTGGCGACAAAGATTATTAAGGGACGAAGAAATACGATTTGATCCCGAGAAAGATACTACATTTCCAACATGACTGCTTTGCCTATCTTCCCGACGTTCAACCTAGAAGAACCCGACCTTAGAAAAGCTTGGGGAAAATACGTAAGAAGATTGGAGAATTTGTTGTTGGCAATGAACATCACAAACGCCGCAAGAAAGAAGGCGATGCTCCTGCACTATGTCGGTGAAGAAGTTAATGAGATATTCGAAACTTTAGAAATCGACGAGCCAGACAGAGAAGAAGATGTATTTAGAAAAGCGGAGAAAGCGTTACGAAATTACTTCACTCCACAGAAAAATATAGAATTCGAAGTTTATAAGTTTCGTCAAGCGAAACAACTCCCAGGAGAAAACATATCCGCATACTATACGAGATTGAAACAATTAGCCAAATCCTGCGAATTTCATGAAGAAAGCAGAGAGATAAAAACGCAGATCATACAAAATGGTTCATCTTCAAAATTGCGGAGAAAAGCGTTAGCAGACCCAGAAATAACGATGGAGAAATTACTACAAATGGGAAAAACAATGGAGATGTCAAAAACACAAACAGAAGGCATCGAAAGCACGAATCGAATTTGGCATAAAAGAAAGCAAATCAAGACGCCCACGGATAAAACCTCAAATGCTTTCGAATATTCATCGAAGATCAAATGCAAATTTTGTGCTCGTGAGCATCGTCCAGGGAAAACAAATTGCCCGGCATATGGAAAGAAATGTCGACAGTGTTTAAAATGGAACCATTTTCAAGTTTGTTGCCATGAGAATCGAAGAGGCAAAGAGCTGATGCAAGACAATTATCCAAGTTCTCGCGCTGAATCAACAAAGCGAAACGGACAGATAAAACGTAATCAAGTAAGACCTCGACAAGTGAATACGGTGCAAGAAATAACGTCCGAATCAAGTATGGAAGATGAATATGTATTTTCAACGTTGACGGCGCAACAAAAGCTGCCGAAATTTAAAGTTAAGATAAATGGTACTCCTGTGTCAGTCATGGCAGATACCGGTTCCAGCGTAAATCTCTTGGATGAAGTGAATTTTAACAAATTGAAGAAAAGCCAATATTGCAGCAAGCAAATGAGAAAATCTTCCTTATGGGTCGGAGAAACAACTATCAATTAAAGGAAAATGTCAGTGTGTGGTCGAAACCGATAAACTATATGGGTTGGAGACATTTTTTGTTGTTAATGGGAATACGGGTTGCTTGATAAGCTGGAAAAGTTCTCAAAAATTGGGCCTGGTACAAATAGTTGCATCCATAGAAGGCACTACAAAGTCTAAACAGGAACCCGTTAAAGAAAAGGCACAAGAAAAAGTGAGAGAAGATACCAAAGTGGAAGAGCTAATTAACAAATATCAAGAAGTCTTTCAAGGACTGGGAAAATTGAAAGGGTTTCAAGTTCATCTACACGTAGATAAGGACGTACAACCTGTCGCACAACCTCATCGTCGGGTGCCGTTTCATGTGAGAAAAGACTTGGAGAAACAGTTAAAACAAGACGAAGAACGCGGAGTCATAGAGAAAACGGATGGACCAACACCTTGGTTTCACCAGTCGTGGTCGTACCAAAACAAAATGGGGAGGTCCGAGTTTGTATAGATATGCGACAAGTAAACAAAGCGATAAAGAGAGAACGACATTTGACTCCGACGATTGGCGAAATTATAAGTGATCTAAATGGTGCTGTATGGTTTAGCAAATTGGACTTAAATCAAGGCTATAACCAGTTAGAGCTCGATGCAGAATCAAGATATTTGACAACCTTCTCAACACACATTGGTCTACGGAGATTTCGACGTTTGAATTTTGGAATAAACTGTGCTGCAGAGATATTCCAAAATGCCATCAGAGAAACGTTGAATGGACTGAGAGGCGTGATTAATATCAGTGATGACATTATGGTGTTTGGCGTAGACGAGAAAGATCACGATGCAAATTTGAACGCGGTATTACAACGAATTAAAGATCGAGGACTAACTCTTAAGAAAGAGAAATGTCAGTTTAAGAAAAGAAATTTAATATTCCAAGGGTATGTGTTCTCAGAGAATGGTATTGTGCCGGATCCCAATAAAGTGAGAGCAATTAAGGAATGCACAAATCCTAAAGATGTAGGAGAAGTACGAAGTTTGTTAGGCATGACCAATTTTTGCTGTCGATTTATTCCACATTATGCCACAATTACGGAGCCGTTACGTCGACTTATCAAGAAAGATGCCCCATTCGTGTGGACAAGAGAACAAGAAGACACAATGAAAGCCCTACGGAAAGCACTAACAGATGGGCCAGAAAGTGCGTATTTTGATCCGGATAGTGATACGGAGGTTTTCACAGATGCTAGTCCAGTTGGTATTGCAGCAGTCTTGGCGCAGAGGAAAAAGGGAGAAGAAAAAAGGAAAATAATTGCTTACGCTAGTAAATCACTAACTACCACAGAGAAAAATTATTCTCACTTGGAAAAAGAAGCTTTAGCTATAGTATGGGCCTGCGAACATTTTCATTTATATTTGTTTGGAGGAAAATTCACCATCGTCACTGATCACAAGCCGCTGGTGAAAATATACACAAATCCATCATCAAAGCCATCTGCGAGATTAGAACGATGGGCCTTGCGATTGCAACCATATGATTTTGAAATCTGTTTTCAACCTGGAACTGAAAATCCTGCAGATTTTCTCTCACGTCATCCCTTATCTGATGAGAAACTAAACAACCGGCAAGAGAAAGTAGCAGAAGAATTTGTTAATTACGTTACACAGAACTCGGTTCCAAGAACAATCAGCAGGAAAGATCTGGAAGAAGCTACAAGAGAAGACATTACTCTTCGAGCAGTAATTCGAGCCATTGAAACAGGTAGATGGTTTGAGAGTTCAAAGATGGTAGGAGTAAACCAAGCAGAATTTAGTTCATATGAGAAACTTAAAGATGAACTTTGCATATCTTCGGGTATAATTCTACGAAAACATCAAATAATCATACCAGAAAGTTTACGAGAGAAAGTAGTGAATATTGCTCATGAAGGTCATATGGGAATGTCAAAACGAAAGCGTTATTACGTGAAAAGGTATGGTTTCCACGTATAGATGAGTTAGTTAATGAAAAGTTAAATCGTGTTTAGCCTGTCAGATTACAACTCCAGTCAGTGAAAAGGAACCATTGAAAATGTCAGAGTTGCCAAGATCTCCTTGGAAAGAACTAAGTATGGACTTTGGTGTAGCTCCTACAGGCACAGGTGAATATTTGTTTGTTTTGTATGATGATTTTTCCAGATATCCCATTGTAGAAGTAATCCGATCAACGTCCGCAAAGACTGTTATACCCTGTTTGGATAAGATACTTTCGGAGTTCGGGATACCAGATACGATACGTTCAGACAATGGACCGCCATTCAATAGCAAGGAATTTTACGAGTTTTCAAAGTATTTGGGATTTAAACACAGAAAAGTTACTCCTTATTGGCCACGAGCCAACGGGGAAGTGGAAAGATTTATGCGTACTATCAAAAAGACAAAGGCTGCGATAATGGAGGGAAAAATTGGAAGCAAGAAATCCACAGGTTCCTGCGAAATTATCGTGCCACACCTCATAGTTCGACCAAAACCTCTCCATCTATGGCTTTATTCGGTCGACCAATGAAAGTACGTTTACCTGAAGAACCATTTTATGAAGATACAGAGGAAAAATTCGAGTACAGGATGAAAGAGCAAAATTGAAGATGAAATTACATGCAGACAATAACAGGAACGTAAAGACAAGTGAGATTAAAGTAGGTGATATGGTGTTAGTAAAGAAAGATACGACCAACAATAAACAACAAACATCCTATGATGGTAAGCCATGTGAAGTCGTGGAAAGAAAAGGTTCAATGGTAACAGCGAAGAAAGATAGAATGTTGCTTACTCGTAATTCGTCATTTTTCAAGAAGATCGAAAATGGGAAAGGTCTAGAAGAACCCATTGAGGAAAGTATAAGGGAAAAAGAACGGCGGTATCCTTTGCGTACAAGAAAAGCCCCTATTCGATACGGACAAGTTGAAAGTTAATATAGAGATAGCTATAAAAGAAACAATTAATATTTTCATATATGAACTTATAGATACAAAATACAAAAAAAATATATTTAATTAGTTTGGGGAGAGGTGTAGTATAGTTATTATTCAAATTATTAGTATTTCGTACGTCATACTACGTATATTATAATTAAGTAATGATCTGTATATAAGTAACATGACTAAGCAATAAAAGGGAGAAATCTCACAATATTACAACAAGGACGTACGTTTTCATGATGTCGCTTATCGTGCTAATTCAAGTGATATCCATAATTCGCATTTGATCTTAGCATAAATTTTGCTCGTTTGCGGTCTTTACTAAATCTTACAGTATTGATATTATCCTTTTTAAGTCAATTTCTACTTCGTTCTTGAACTTTCTGTAGTTTGTGTGATAGGTACATAACATAAAACCCCTATATGCATCTATCACAAGTTCAATATTTGCCTAAGATCAAACTTTATTTGTCAAACCTGAGCTCCAGTTCATATCAAATACTGCTATCCGCGTGCAACACTGCATACTTTTTTTTAATAAAGGCATCGATCGCTGCCGTTCTGACAGTAAAACCTAGTCTCACTCAAAAATTTTATGATAGATTAAAGTGAGCCACTTCAGCCATTAGTCAACCTAAAGGACAAGAATGAGCTACACAATATACCAATACCAATACAGCCTTTGTCTCTTCTCTTTGAATTGGGTCTAGTAACTGCATGCAGATGTCGAGTCATAGGTATTTGCTACCCCATCATGTGCTTGCTTATGACTGTTCAAGTCAGGAGAAGGTTACCACGAATAAGGATGTTGACTATCGAGTCGTCATACAACTTGGGAATAATCAATTTAATGAAATAAACCAAATTACATTTTACTACTTTCAAGTTACTATCTTCAAATTACTGTTTTCAAATTACTTTAAAGACTGTTTGGTCCCACGTACAACATTCAACAACAAAAATTTGTCTTTTACTCTAACTAAACAAACACATCCTTTCAAACGCCACTTCCTTCTTCCCAATCCGTCCAAACCGGCAAATCATACGGTAGCCACACCAGCCCCTAAAAGAAAATTGCAACGTAGCAATCCATTTACAACAATATTAAGCTACCGTAAAATTTGAATAACACAACAAGAATATAACTCTCAAATTCTAAATTATTTAGATATATAAACTTTAATTGTCCATCTCAAGTAGACATATTTTAGTCACGGGACGGATCAAGGTTATCGTGTTCATCTTGTAATCTTTCTTTCGTTGAAGTTTGGGTCTTATCAGTACTAGATCGTCTTCTTTAAAATTATAACCGTCTCGGTATATACCATTTCTTTCTCTCCATTAATGTTGGTAAGTATTCTTTAAGCCATCTACACCAAAAAACATTTGCCAAGTATTGAGCCTGCTTCCAATTCTTACAGCACAAATCATTTTTTTCAAATAATCCCGGGGGTAAGCTAGTACTTGCTCGTAAATGCGTAAATGCAATAAGTGGTTTGGAGTTAGAGGATCTTCATCGTCAGGACTGGCGCGTGAGAGGTCTTGAATTCAGGATTAGAACCATCTCTGCAATCACGGTTTGCAGGACTTCGTCTGAAACTACTTGTTCTTTGAGAATTGCTTTGAGGATTTGTCTAACAGATCGTATCATTCTCTCCCATATGGCTCGCTAAAGGTGGGTTAAAGTATAAAATTTGCGTAAGAAATTTATTAAGTTTACTTTGATCCCATTCTTCAATTCCTTTGATTAGTTCCTTGTTAGCACTCACAAAATTTGTTCCTCTATCACTCCTGATTTGCTATGGGACATCCTCGAATGCTAATAAATCTCTTGAGAGCGTTGATCATCGAGTCTGTACCCAAGGAGCGTGAAACATGTGAAAAGGCAGCCATATCTTTTCACCAACGATCTACCTCTTAACCAGCATGGGTCCAAAATAATCAATTCCTACATTAGTAAAAGGAGATTTTTGAGGTGTCACTCGGCTTTCTTGTAGATCTGACATTAGCTGCTCACCCAAACGAGCCTTTCTTCTTTGACAAGCTAGGCAACTTCGTACAACGTTTCGAACTGCTTTTCTTCCTTTAATTATCCAGAACTCCTTTCTTAGTGATGATAAGACGGATTCTTGACCCATATGAACTACTTCAGCAGGATGTGGACGAATTATCATATCTGTGACGGGATGCTTGAAGGGTAGAATAATAGGATGTTTTGATTTCCCATTGATTGGTGCATTAACAAGCTTGCCTCCAACCTTTAGTAAGCCGTTCACCATCTTTGGATTTAATAGTCAAATGGAGATTCTTGATTTTCGTAGTAGTGCCTTGTCAAGCTCTTTGCTATTTTCTGGAACTGCAAGCAGTTCAGTTCTTGAGAGAATGTGGTGTTCTGTACATATGCGAAGATCTCACTTTCGGCAGCATCCAATTCTTCCATTGTTGGTCGTCCAACTTTAAATTCCGATTCCAAATGTGGACCAGAAATAACTTCCCTTTGTCTCGCCTTGCTTAGAAGATAATCCTTATAACGTAACAACCAAGCAACAGAACACCTTAACTTCCATCAAATGGAGTGGCGTGAAATCAACATATCCAATAAGCGAGGCCGTTCTGCAGTCACGTAAATTAGGGCTTCCTTCCTTACTTGTCGGTCTTCATCCTTTAGTTCAGGAATAGTTATCCCCTTTGGCCAATGACTTTCATCCTCTCAAAGGAATGCAGGACCTTTTAACAATTGGCCTTTGTTTCTTAACATGTGCGATTTAACGCCCTTGGAGCCTTCATCAGCGGCATTGTCGTCCCGGTTCACGTAATTCCACTCGGATAGGTGCGATCCACTACGAATCACTGACAAACGGTTGGACTCGAATGTGTGAAATCTTTTGCTTTCGTTGTTAATACATTTGAGGACTGACGTTGAATCTGCCCAGTAACAAACTCCTTGCACTACCAAATCCAATTCTTCTCGAATAATCTTCGAAAGGCTTACGGAAATGAGCCGTTAATTCCAGTCTTGGTATAGAAATCTCCCTTCTTGGAGCGAGTCTAGCCTTCTCAATTACAAATGAGCAGTGTATTTCATTGTTTGCATTTTTTAGACGCAAATATGCCACCGCCAAATAGCCAAGTCGAGAGGCGTCGGAGAAAATATGTAGACTCACATCTTTAACTTCTTTGAATCCAGCAGGTTTAAAACAGCGGTGAACCCGAATTTCTTGTAGCTTTGGGAGATCAGCAACCCAACGTTTCCATTGCGAAAGTTCGTTCGCCTGAATGTGATCATCCCATCCAAGTTCCTTTCTACAAAGCATTTGCAGTATTAACTTCGCCTTCATAACAAACGGAGCAATAAAGCCTAAGGGATCGAAAAGCGAATTTACTGCTGACACTATCTTCCGTCGAGTGACGGGACTTCGTTTCTAACTGCAGCATTCTTTCCGCAACAACCCAAACAAACACATCCTCTTCTGTGTTCCACTTTATTCCAAGAGTAATTTCTGTGGGAAGCTTATCCAATTTTAAATTCTTTACGGTGTTTGCTCTCTCAGTTTCGGGAATCGTTGCTATCAAGCTCCTACTGTTGCTGTACCATTTTGTAAGACGGAATCATCCCCTTTTCAATAGTTGACGCAATTGACTCGCTAAACTTATTGCTTTCTCTGGTTCGCTTATTGATTTCATCAAGTCATCGACATACATGTTACGTTTCACCGTTTCTACTGCTAGTGAGTCGTATTCTTGTTGATACAACTCGGCTGTCTTCCGCAAACAGAAATTGGCGATACTTGGAGAAAACGTTGCTTTGAACAAATGTCTTGTCATTTGGTATTCTTCCATGTCTCCAGAAAGGTCTTTATTTGGCCACCATAAGAATCGCAATGCGTCTCGATCCTTTGGTTCCACTAGAACCTGACGGAGCATTGCTTCTACATCAGCAACTACTGCAACCAATTCCTCTCTGAAGCGAATTAACACGCCTGTTAGTAGATTTGTCTGATCCAGACCCTGTAGAAGTTGCTGATTCAACGACGTTTGCTCATATCTGGCTGCACAATCATAGACGACTCTTACCTTTTCGGGCTTTAGAGGATGAGTAACCGGGTGATGTGGTAGGTACCACGTTGGTCTGTCGTTTACCTCTAGATGATCCTGAGGAATTCTTTCTGCGTAGCCTTTATCAATGTAATCGTTTATTGTGGCTTGATACTTTTCCGACAGGTTTTCATCCTTGAGGAGCCGTTTTTTCAAAAGCAAGCCTCTGCGTTCTGCGATTATTCAATTATTGGGTAAGTAGGGCGGTTTCTTTCGCCATGGCTGAGCAACTTGAAAATGATTATCTACTACTGTCAGTGTCTCTTCCATTATTTGAAGCGCTCACTTATCTTTAAGCGATGGGCACACTTTATAGACCTCGACTAAGACGACAAGAAAAAGTTGGTGGTATTAACGTTAGTAAAGATTTCGTTGACCATTACTAGAAGAACTTGTCAATTGTTACTTCTGCTGGAATTGTAAGTGAAGTGTTAGCTGTTTATTGGGAGTTAGCTGAATTGTTTGATAAACTTGAAAATTGGGGTGAAGCAACTCATATTTATGAAACTTATTTGGAGATTGTTACAAATGGCGAAGATATCGAGAAACAAAAAAATGCCATGCAGCGTCTAATGCAAATATACGAAAAGGAAGGGCGTCATTACTTAAAGGATTTAATAGAGCAGAAATTACAACACCTCGATAGGAAGAAGAAGAATAAAGGTACAGAATCAGATGAATTCAGCTTAGCTAAAAGATAAATTTTACTATGAGTCAATACTTATTAAAAATTTAAGGCTGAAAAACTAAATATTCTTTCTTCAGAGTTTCACTCAGGTTGTTCGTCACAAAATTGTTTGTGTGTAATATTCTTTTAACCGTATTTTTGTTATCTGCTATCCTCCACTCATGCCATAACGTATTGCCTGAACCAATGGCGTAAGAAGCAAGGGAAAGTTGGGGGCTCGAGCTTTTTTGGTAAACTTTTTCATTCATAAACGACACTTTCTTGTAAAAAATGCAATTTTTTATATTAAACTTAAAAGTCGTGGGGCACGTGCCCTCCTTCTTACGTCACTTTTTGAGCAAGTGGTTTATGATGGTTTTTTATAAAATATTTTGAAATGTACACTTTGAATGAAAATCCTCAATGCAATAAAAAGAAGCTTGAGCTACTTTAATACATCTGATTATTCATGCACATTTGCTCTCTATGAATATAAAACTTTTATTTCAATTTCAGAATTGCAGTTACAAGAATGGAAATACCTTGGTGAATCAACAAAACATAAAGAATTATTCAAAAGACTTATTGAGTATGGGCGCAATCCCAGCATCAAGGTTGAATATGTGGGTGATGTGCGTGTAATTTTCTCAGACGAGTTTTGCATCGGCAAAGGAAGTGATGGAACACGTGTTTATCTTGGACTGGGAAAAGATGGTTACGGTAAAGCAGTGAAACGTATACGACGAGATAACAATCTTGCTCTGCAAGAAAACACAATTTTAAATGAAAGCAATGCACAGAAGTCGAATTATATTGTAAATTATTACCACTTAGAAGAAGATACCAGAACTGAATATGTCTATTTGAAACTTGACCTATGTGAAGAATCGCTGGAGAGTTTTGTAAAATCTTCTACTTTGATGGAGCTTCAACAATCTCTTCCCGAAATTCTAAAGCAAATTTTAAAAGGATTAGCTGATCTTCATAGCGAACCAAATCCAATTCTTCATCGGAATTTAAAGCCTTCCAATGTTTTGCAAGATGCACAAGGTAAATTTCTGATAGCTGACTTTGGTATTAACCGAATATTGAAGGATGGCTCTGTGACATATACAAGCAACACTAACAGGGAAACTGAGTATTGGATGACTCCTGAATCGTACGTTGTTAATGAAGAGTCCGTTGATAAAGCACGTTACAAAAAAGAGTCTGATGTGATGGTAGGTGTAGAAATGTAACTTTGAATAATTAAATTCAATTTTTGGCATTTCGTTCACACTTTCACCTTTTCATTGATTTTAGAATGCAGGAATGGTGGCTTATTATGTTGCAACAAAAGGGGAGCATGCTTTTGGAACTGAAAAGAATAGACTGAAAAATTTGTTAGCTGGAAACCCTGTTGGATTGGAAGAAATTGGTGATTTACAACTTAGAGATCTTCTTTCATGGATGCTGCAACTTAAACCCGAAGACAGACCATCTGCCGAAAAAGCGTTAAAACATCCATATCTGCAATCTGCCGAAGAGAACTTTGATATGTTGTGTGATGTGGTCAATGAACTGGAGATGAAGATATGTGATCCTCTCAACTCAGGTGTCCATAAGCAGTTAAACTATCCAGAAAACTGGATGGACCGTATCGACGAAGAGATTTTTAACAATTTCAATGACTTTAACCCTACATGGTTAGGCTGCTTAAAATTTTTACAAAACGTTCGCGAGCATTGGCAAGATCAACCTCATCCACAACTGCCGCCAAGTGAGGGGAACTATAAAAAGTATTTCCTGCACGTTTTACCGGAGCTTCCTTTTCTGGTGCACAGAATCATAAGGCATAACAAAAAGAAATCCACTCCAGATCTGGAAGAACAATTTGGTGGTAAGTTATCCATTAAAAAATTTCTTTTTCGTCAATGATGTAGCTAATCAATCTCTAAAATCTCTAAGTGTAATAAATGCAACCTTTTCAGTCAGTTATTACGGTTATACAGTCGAAGTGTAAATTTTCTGCGTTTGATTTGTCGCGATATGTTTGTTTATCTGTGCATCAAAGATTGTCATGAACAAGCTAACCATTTTAAAAATTTTATCTCCAGCATCCCCTTTGCCGGTATGAAATGGTGAAACGCAAATATATTTTCTTCCCTCAACAAGTAGAAAGTTAATATGAAATATTCATATGATTCTATCCTTCTTGGTGCTTATGTTTTTAGTACATGGATATTTATGGTTGTTTAGGGCAGTCTATATCCAATGAAATATAAAATGCAGGTATATTAAAAATAACATTAAAACATTAAAAATTCAATGGCTGTGCAACTAATTACGCTTCGGGGACTTAAAAGTTGAAGTAATTTTAATTCACTTTGTGTGATTATTTTCATAAAACTTTATGTACACAATTATAATACAACGTGAATGCCAGCTTAGAAAATTCTTACAAACATTTTGGAATATCTAAAAGTTGTCTTATAGGTTATTATCATTCTATCATCATGTCCATTATCATTTGCAATATGTTATGATTGACATATTATCATCATGTCTGTTATCATTTGCAAGCGTCTCAAATCCTTTCGGGTATTTCTTTTTCTGATTATTAATTAAAACATCTAAAATTTGCATTACCAATCCGATTATCATTTGTTATTTGTTATTATTGGTGACTAAATTACTTTGATTTTAGGCTTGGGTAGAACTATAAATATTGTGCATTAAATGTAGAAAGTATTAAAGGGAAAACATACTATAGTAAAAAGTAAAAGTACTGTGTACCATTCGAGGGCATAACCAAATACCTATAGTTAACTTAATTTTTTGAAGATCCTTTTTCGATTTGCTAAAAATACGCTCAGATTTTTCCTAGTAAGACCATCTTACACAGCAGTCAAGATGAAATCAGTATGATCAAGTTTATTTACAAAATTTATGACACTTTGTCGTAAACAAACAACCATTTATAGCTCCGAAAAATCTGTTAAAAAGCTTAATAGCTAGATGAGAACTTTCTTTTTGTGTAGCGTTTAACAAATAAAAGCTTGCATTTGTTGCAATAGTTTTTAGTAATGTTATCATTCTTAAATGTTTCATATTTACATTGCTTCAGCTTCTGAAGAAAAGAAATCTTTGCTATATTTACTAAATGATAATGGCAGTGATACTGATATTGGTATAACGTCTTCTACATCAGGACCTAGTAAGTAATGAAATTTTATATGCAAATATTTACACAAACGTAATCTTTATTACCTTTTGAAATGTTAAGTACAAACAAGAATGCAATGTAACCATTGAGGTTCGTTTATATCTTCCTTATTCACATACTTTTGTTAACGGTCAAAAATGTGAGATGTAATGAAGAGTGAAAAGACTCAGCAAGTATTCCTTTCATCTTGCTATGATGTATTAACCGTATAATGTAATGCATTAATTTCCAGCTTCTTACGAAAAGATATCTCTGCCATCTCCCATGAGTGACAACGACTATGACGATATTGACAAAACTCCTTCTTCAGCAGTACTTAGTAAGAAATTGTATTTTGTTAGCAAACATTTGCACAAACATCTTTACATTCCCTATAAAAGTCAAACACAAACAATTAAGAGTCGTTTATATCATGCGTATTATTCATACGTTTCTAAAGGGTCAGATAAGAGAGTTTTAGAATTTGTCATCATGCTGTAATGTTATTTAATTGCATTGCAAAAAATTAATTTGATTTATCTATTAGATGATAATAACAGTGACGTCATCATTGGTGTTTCGCCTTCCACATCAAAACCTGGTAAGCAAAAGAACTTTTTTTACCAAACATTTGCTGTTCAAACATTTCCATGTTTTTCTACGCTAAATACAAACAATTATTTATAACCTAATAAATTAATTTTAAAAGATGTCGTTATATGTAGCGAACTAAAATCTTTTAATTCAAAAGTAATGCAAATGTTGTGGATCATTTGAGGGGGAGTGTTCTACGTCATGGGACCAACTTTATTGTGTCTTTATTGGATCAAATATCCCAAAGTTTTAGTCAGACCGACATTTTTCGTCTTTTATCCGTTTGTCGGACCGACTTTTTATTCATATTTTACAAAAACTGGGTAGTGTAACATGTGATATACACGTTTATTTTCTTTATTATGTGTTTAGATGCAGATGATAATTTGGATGAACACTTTTCGATGAACACAAGCTTTTCAGAAGGTAACCTTAAAAACATTAGGTTCTTTAATTCTCCGAGCTCTTTTCACCTCGACAGATGCTTTCATCTTTGATTTTTCAATCTCAATGTTTCCGCATTTAAAGGGAACTGTACTGCATATTTACATAAGATCGTTACACTAGAATATTTTCATAACATCGTTAAAAGTATGCAAAGCCGATGTGGGCAGTATAAAATTAAAATGCATGCCAAGTAATGTTCTTTATGAAAATGCTTTTTGTCACTTAGATATTGGATTGAGTTTAAAAAATAACAAGCGTTGTTTTTAAAATGTCAGCGTTTTGACGGATGGCTATTTTTAACTACTTCCGTTATTATGGTGCAAAATAATAAATTTTAAAAGGTTTACTCATTCCTATACTGTCACCATTTTACGACGATGAGATACTCAACTGTGAATCGAACGCAAAACGTAAATATAAACTCTGTGCTACGGATTAATGATGGTTGTCTTAATACAGAAAAGAGTGTGGAAGAAAGATACCTTAGTGAATGATTTTTTATATATACGTGTTTATAAACCTGCAACATACTTAATAAATCAAAGCGTTATCAACTTTCCCTGTGTTGCAACTAAAATAATTTTTTGCTATTGCGCTTGCACACGACGATAATAAAGTTTTTGTTTTCAAAATTGATTGTACAAACTATGTGCTTGTCTACAATAACGATAGCTATACATAAAAATACTTATAATGATAGCTATACATAAAAATACTTTCATTTGTTTCCATCATGGAAAATTGTAATTTGTGGTTCTATAATTTTTATATTCTCTTAAATTTATGGTCGGTGTGCTATTATGTTGCGACCAAAACTTCAAAGAAGCCCATACATTAACATTGTCCATAGTTCATGATAAAGAGCCCATTAAATTGTTTTGATGTGTTATAAATAAAACAAAAAATGCTCTAGTTGCTTGTCACTATAACAATATAATATTTTAGTATTATTTTATTATTTATTTTTATAATGCAGAAGAGGGAAAACAACGTTTGGAAGGTTGGTATAGCAAATTATTTTGAGTTTCGTAAAGGATTATGATTAATTTTTTTCAGCTCTCAATAGCTTGAGTTGGAAAATGCTGTGTAAATTTTTTTCAATTCTCAGAATTTTTTAATGACTATTAATTAAGAATGAAAAATTCTTTTCATTGCATGCATAAGAATGTCCGTGTCTGAACGTAAAGTGCAGCATGTCGTAAGATACTATCTAAACTATTTCTTATTGTTTCCAGATAAAATAAAGTCAGTTATTGAAAGGATTATTGCTTTGTAAACATTTGTAGAGATCATTGAGTAAATTCAATTTATTTTGAGAGGATTTTGGTCATAACTTTTTAACATTCACATACTAAACTTCATATTTTATGTTAATGTGAAAACGAAGTGTGTTTTATCCATTGCATAAATGCTCAATCTAGTATAGCAGATCTAGCGTTTGTCAAAATCAATTATAGATGCTAATTCCAAAATTTAAAATCAAAATATATTCAAACCAAAACTATTGAATTTGAATTTCAAAAAAATTAAACTTTATCAATGGACTTGCCTCTATGTATTTGGAAATGGAAATATATCCAAGCTTGAGCTGCAGAAATTTATTTTGACAGACCCTAGATCCGCCACTGGCTTTATTGAGTTAAAGGTTGGTATGGTCATGCAATAAACTTATCGTGGAACGTCGATTATTGCGCGTGAATTGTATGATGACCAACTCATTTCTACCGGAGTAAATGTTATTTCCACATCAAAGTAAAAACATCCGTGTTTTCTCATCCAGAAAAAAACACAGCAATGTTATATGTTATGTGATATTGCCAAAATAAATAAAACTGAATTTATCAGTCCTTTTTTAATCTTTCCTGATTTGTACTTCTCCTTTAAGTTCAAGAAGTGTTGCGTCAACCATGGAAATATTGTGATAAATCAATAATGCATCAGGAAAAGTTTAAAAAGATGGAGGAATATGGACGCAAACATCCAGAAAAAGTTACACTGCTCAGTGAATTGCGTGTAATTTTCAAGAATACGTTTTTGCTTGGCAAGGGAAGTGATGGAACCCGTGTTTACCTTGCCCTGGGAAACGATGGTTATGGAAAAGCAGTAAAGCGAATACACAAAGATAGCGGCAAAGACTTTGCAAATCGAGAAAAAGAAATTTTGAATGAGTTGAATGCAAAGCGCTCAAATTATGTTGTGAATTTTTGGGATTTAAAAGAGAACCTTGACGAAGAGTATTTGTACGTGATATTAGATTTGTGTGAAGAATCTTTAGAGAGTTATGTGAAAGCTTCTTCTTTGCAAAATCTACAAAAAGTCGTTCCTACAATTCTTATGCAGATTTTAAAAGGTTTAGCTGATCTTCACAGTGGTCCGTGTCCTATTCTTCATCGAGATTTAAGACCATCGAACGTTCTTCGAGATGTACAAGGAAATTTTTTAATCGCTGACTTTGGTATAAGTCATATGTTATCTGATGAAACTTCGACACATCTGAGCATACAGAGAGGAGCTAAAAATTGGATAGCTCCAGAGTCATATGACAAAACAGATGGATCAATTAATAAAGTTCGTTACAAAAAAGAGTCTGACATTATGGTAAGTTCTTGAAGTAGAACTAGAGGTCCAACTACAGCTCAGTGTTTTATTTGCATTTAATTAAATAAAGATATTTGGTAGTGATAATAATTTTACCTCAATTTTTTTCTTTACCTCTATCGTATCGTCTTATAGTGTTAACCTATAAATTTAAATAAAAACAAATTAATTTTTTTTAATCGTGTTACAGTTTTAATTGTATGTTCCTTATTTAGATTGTTTTTAATACATATATATATATCTAGAATTCAATTTGGAGAACATTTTTTAGATTTTTTTAAGCTGCACATTTATTGCTGATTACTGCCAATCGCAAATAATTTTAATCTTTAAGGTTTTAGTATCCGCCACTGACTGTTTATGACAATTTTTTATTGAAAATAGAATGCAGGAATGGTTGCTTATTATGTTGCAACAAAGGGAAAACATCCTTTTGGAGATGAACGGCTTAGACTGGACAACATTTTGAAAGGAAACCCAGTTGGCTTGGACAAAATCGAGGATGCCACGCTCAAAGACCTTTTATCGTGGATGCTACAGTTAATACCTGAAGACAGGCCATCTGCCAATAAGGCGTTAAAACACCCTTATCTACAATCAAACGAAGAGAAATTTAACATGCTGTGTGATATGGGAAACCAACTGGAGGTGAAACATTCACAAGGTCAAAATTCTCCCACTTCAGACGTTCATACACAGTTGCATGGTTCCACAGAATGGATGAAGCGTATCGATGATGAAGTCGTCAAAGATTTGATCAACTTTGAAGTAAACGACAGTATAAGAACTCTAAAGTACGAGTCTACATGGGCAGGATGCTTGAGATTTATACGAAACGTTAACCAACATTGGCAAGATAAGCCTCGTCCGCATCTATCACAATATGTGAAGCAAGGCAATTATAAAAAGTATTTCTTGCAATGTTTTCCTGAACTTCCTCTTCTGGTGCACAAAATCATTTGGTCGACTGACTGGAAAACAAGACCTGATCTCAAGAAATATTTTACGAGTAAGTAAGAGCTACGAAAATGATTTTTTTCTCGATGTTGTAGCTAATTAATGGTTCCATGACACTATAATGTTCAAACTTAATTGTCATTTTCACTGTAATCGTTCATTTGTTTCCTAGGATGTACTATTTTGATGTTGATTTCTGGTAATGATTATTTTAGTATTGAGGTTTTCAATTATCCTCTCACAACTCTCAACTGCTATTAGTTTTTTGTATTTTGTGCATGCTGTCAAGACGTTTACTATTTCATTATTTCTCTTTTGGGGTAAAGATGGTCTTTTTGGCAGCCTTATAACATTTCGTTATTTCAAATTACTCTTGCAACCATGCATTCTTAGATACCAAGTTGGTTGAACAACTTGAAGAAATCAATGGAAAGAAAAATGAAGACATAAATGACGATATGGATCTTGACGGTAAATATAATTCTTGCTTTGTCACTCTTAAATCTTAAATCTTAGGCTTGTAGGAGAGTAAGAATTAAACATAAGCAAAATGATGTGGTAAGACGAAAAGAAGAGCTGATGTGTTTGTTTGAAAGGATATGGTTATATATTTGGTCATTGAATTAGGAAAATCCATTAAGCACTAAAATGCAGTTTTATTTTCGATGATTTGGCTGAATGATTGTTCCGTGACAATATGCAAGAAATGCCTCCAAGCTTAAAAATTTTTCTATGAATTAAAATTTTTTATAGGTATCGTATAAATGCTCTGCATTATTTCTCTCAACTCCATTCAATTTAGTTGTGTACATTGTGTTTTATACTTATATCTGAGAAAGTTAAATATTTTGTTTGTGTATTTCTCATTCGAAAGTAGTTTCGTCTTTCTGGCTGCAATTTGAGTTTGCTTGAATTAAAATAGTTTCCTTTTGCTTCCATCTAGAAGAAACTAAAAGAGTAAATGGAAGGAAAAACAAAGAAAACCCAAGTCATGACGGTATTTGATAGCAACAAACTTATTTGTGATTGTGGAGGGGGTCTATTGTGCATTGTTTTCGTGGTTTAGTTTGAAGTGGCATGCTTTTATCATTTGTTCATTTGTTCAAAGTTGTGAATAAGTTGTTTGTAGGTGGCTGTAATTGTTGTGATCTGTTCAGTTTCATAATGGGTTTTTTCTGAGTTAGAATAGCAACTTTTTAACGTGAATAGTCTGTATTCAGTGCTGTATGTGATGAATTATGCCGAGTCCTTGCAATCAAAGTTGTGATTTGTCATTCGATGATGTTCGGGAATGTGGTTGGTGTTTTAAAACGTGTTTAGATAGTTATTATCGTGGTGTAGAGCGTCTGTTAAAACACAAAAGAGTTTTGCACTTATTTTTAATGTTCCATTCCTAGTTGTTTTCTGTCATATAGAATTGTAACATGATGGTCTAGCGTGTGTTGATTTTTTGTATTTACCGTAGCCTTTAGCGTTACTTACAGTACAATGGTAAACAATACAAACAGTTACACGGAACAGCAATAGATTCACCCGTCTCTGTTGTAGTTGTTATAAAATTTTCATGTAAACTGTAAAGGAAAGGGTGCACTCACTACCTACCAATACGTACTACTTTTTTTGGTTCCGCTTGGTAGACGATATAATCACTAAATTAGTAAACTTTTATCGTTATTTTTGGGAAAGTTGTTTTGTTAAGAATTTATTATTTTTTACTTTTTTACATATACATCGAATTTAGTATTTTTGAAAGATGGATTGGATATGGAAGAGAACGAAGATGTTGCTCGAAGTCAAAAACTGGATTCTTACGATAAATCATCAATACAAAGCAGCGCGGGTGGTTTTGTGCGGAATAAATTTCGTCGTTTTTTGATGTTGGGAAGCGATACAAGCACTTTCTACACTTACCAAAGAACGTTAAGCTTAGGAAATGCAACAGTCGTTTTGAAGCTTTTGGAAGAAGGAAGGGGTGTTGAAGTTGTCAATGAAATAAAGAAGTATAGCATTGAAGGACAAACTGTGAGACAGCAGGCCATCGTGTTTTCTCTCGCTGTTTGTGCCCGGAAGGGAGATCTTGCCACAAAAAGACAAGCATACAAGGCTTTAACCAAGATCTGTCGAATTCCGACTCATTTGTTTATGTTTATTGAGTTCTGCAAGCTGTTTAGTCAGCATGGAAAAGGTTGGGGTCGTGCCCATAGGAATGCCATAAAACGATGGTACAAAGAAAAAGATCCATGGGAACTGGCCATGGATCTCACCAAATATCAAAAGCGTGAAGGATGGTCACATAGGGATGTTGCAAGGTTAATGCATCTCAAGTCAGAAGGAACTGATGTTTCTGATGAGTTGTTTGTTATAATGAAGTATGTTGTTTGTGGTTGGAAGGAGCTTTTTCAATATTTCTTTCCAGAAAATAAGACAACTCCATGTCGTCCTGTTGGAGAAAATGGCAATGCAATGCTAGTGTTTTTTATGGCAGTTGAAAACATAAAAACATCGCAAGAGGAGGCAAGAGTGGTTGAACTGATAAATCAACATAATCTTGTTCAAGAACATATTCCAACACATTGGCTAAAGTCCAAAGAGGTACAAACATTTCATGTCTCCTTTTTACAATTCCCAATTTGAAATCATCTCAGTGTTTACTTACTGTAAAAATTTATTCATGACAACAAATTTATGGGTATGAATTATTTAGCTGTAATTTTTTCCATATTGTGGTAAATGTATAATAATTTTTCATAATTTTATTTATGGTAGGTTCTAAGATCTATTCCCTATGTTTGACCATCATCATGTTGCATTCTTTTTCAGTACTTCCTTGTGGAAGTTGTTTCAGCAGTGTACTTTGGTTGAATTTCTTTTTGAACTTCACTACCAATAGTATTTTTAAAAGTTCGAGAATCGTACTTTGAACTGCTATAATTTATTTGACCAAACATTTCTACATGCTTTGAAATTGAAGTCCTTCTTTTTGTAATTTGAACACTTGTTTCTAGGTGTGGGATGCTCTGTTAAAGAAAATGCCAATGACTGCAATGATACGTAACTTAAACAAAATGACTTCCATTGGCTTGCTTGCTGAAGGATTACCTCAAGTTAAAGATGTTTGTAAAAAACTGTGCAATGAGGATCTGCTAAGAAATGCACGTATCCATCCATTCAACATGCTGTTAGCTTGGAGAACATACATGTCTGGTAAGGGTGAGAAAGGTCTCAAGAAATGGAAAGCCAACAAGGAAATCGCCGAAGCATTGGAGGAAGCATTTTATTTATCATTTAAGGTAGACAGCATGCAAAATCAATTTTTTTAAACAAGAAACAATTAAGCAACATTTTATTTTGTTTTGTTTTGAATTTTCAATATTTTTACAATTTTAGAATATCGAACCAACAGGTAAGAGTTTTATGCTGGCTCTCAATGTAAGTGGCTCAATGCAATTCAATGGATGCATTGGTGCAAGTTCAATAAAACCTCACATGGCTTCTGCTGCAATGGCTATGATGACAGCACGAACAGAAAAACATCACAAATTTGTTGCATTTAGTCATAAAATAGTTCCGATTAAAATATCCGGTAACATGAATTTGGATGAAGTTCTAAAGATTTATGATGAAGTAAGTTCAACCATACATACTTACATGCACCTCAACTACTGAACTATATATTTCCACTTTGCTATGATTGTTATCATGGAACTTTTTTCTTGTTTTCAAGTGTTTGAAATTGTGGGTGGCTTTTAATGTATAACATGCTGTTTCCTACTATATAATGACAAGACTGTAGTCATATGTTTGTAAATGATGATCGTCCAGGTTAATAAAGTCCTGAGAAGGACTGTTTTTGTTGTTGTTATCTGACGTTTCGACAACCTTAGCGGTAGTCATCTTCAGAGTCAAATGAGGAGTAAACGTCAGGTTAGCCGTATATGTTATCTGGTTCTTACGTCATTGTATTGTGTGTACAGGAAATGTGTATTGTCATTGTGGATTAGTGTGAAGTGAAATATTTTATTTTTAGTTGTGATGTGTGATTTAGGTGTGACGTTTTTAGTTGTAATGTGTGGGTGTCAATTGTGTATTGTTATTGTGAATTAGTTTGAAGTGTAATGTTTTTAGTTGATCGTTTGTTTGTATTGTGAATAAGTTGTTTGTAAGGTGCCGGTAATTGCTGTGATCTGTTCAGGGGGGTTTGTTCCAAGTTGGTATACCAACTTTCTAATATAAGCCGTCTATAATCAGTACTGTAAGTAATGCATTTTGCCGAGTCCCAGTCAATGTTGCGCTTTGTGATTTGGTGATGTTCGGCAATGTGATTAGTTTTGTCTTATTTCTTAGTAGCTCGTTTGTGCTCAGTAAGTCTTATGTTTAAGTTCCTGCCAGTTTCCCCGATATAGGAGGCGTGGCAGTCGGAGCAGTTTATTATGTAAACTGCACCTTGTCGTTCGTTGGGTTGTTCTTTGTCCTTTATGTTCGTTAGTACTTGTCGTAACGTTGTGATTGGTTTATGTGCGACACGTATGTTGTTTGGTCGTAAGATACGCGAGATAGTCTCAGACGTACCTTTGATGTAAGGTATCGTTGCTGTTGTCACTGAGTTGTTCGTTTCGTTGGGTTTGTTGGGTTTGTAAGTGTTGCGTTTGATAAAGTCAGAGTTACAGTTGTTTTTGTCAAAAACACGTTTGAGATAGTTGTTTTCGTTTTGTAGAGCGTCCGGTGAATCACATATGATTTGTGCACGTCTTGTTAATGTTCTGATTGTGGTGGCTTTGTGTGATGTAGGGTTGTAAGATGATTGGTCTAGTAGTCGGTCAGTATGTGTTGGCTTGCGATAAACTGTTGTTCGTAGTTTTTGATTGTCATGTCTTACCAAACAGTCGAGAAAAGGAAGAGTTCCGTTTTCTTCGACATCTTTGGTAAATTGTATGTGGCTGTTCTGTATTAACCTGGACGATCATCATTTACAAACATATAAGAACCAGATAACAAATACGGCTAACCTGACGTTTACTCCTCATTTGACTCTGAATATGACTACCGCTAAGGTTGTCGAAACGTCAGTTAACAACAACAAAAACAGTCCTTCTCAGGACTTTATTAACCTGGACGATCATTATTTACAAACATATAAGAACCAGATAACAAATACGGCTAACCTGACGTTTACTCCTCATTTGACTCTGAAGATGACTACCGCTAAGGATGTCGAAACGTCAGTTAACAACAACAAAAACAGTCCTTCTTAGGACTTTATTAACCTGGACGATCATCATTTACAAACATATAACGATACTCCCGGGTTCAAACCATTTACTTTAAGACTGTAGTCAGTACGCTAATTGGGTGGGGGGGGTTATATTTATATGTACATGATATGCCAGATTAGTTTCTTTTGAAACCATTGTTTTTTACAAATTATGTAATGAATATATGAATAATTGCCCATCCCTCTTCCAATTGTTCTGGCTACATGCATGTATGATGATCAATGTCACAGTTTTTAAATTCTTTCCAATCAAAAATATTCTTTCCTACTTTTTACATTCTTTCTAATTCAATTTCATTCCTAGTAGATCTACAATTCCCCCCCAGGATTATTGTTGCATAATAATCAGGCTCGATCACCTTTTAATCAGTTTGCTGAATTTGGCGAAAAAATTTCCGAAGAGACTGAACAAAATTAATTGAAACTTATTTTATTGCACTTTCTGGCAAGATATTTCGACAACATGATTCAGTGCGAACAAAGATGAGGAATTGTGGACTTAGATATAAATTCTACTTATCATATAAATGAATTTTAATTAAGACAAATATAAAAAGTTGCAATTGCTATTTGAACTAAAAAAATTTAAAAAATAGCAACGAATATTTTTAATTGGAAAGAATATTAAAACTTTTAGGCATTGAAAAAATATATTTAGCATAAATAATATATAAATAATCGTAATACTGACCGAAATGTGGTGCTTAATAACAATGTGGGTGATGATGGAGTTATTTGTTATGATAATTATATACAAATGCGGCGCCATGAGAAATAGGTATGTGTTTTATTTTTGAAAGATATTAAGTATGTGGAGTAAACATGAATTTTTATATTGTTTTTTCAGATTCCAATAGGTAAAGCAGATTGTGCTCAACCCATGCTTTATGCCATTGACAACAATTTGAAGATTGATGTTTTTATTGTTTACACAAACCATAAAACACATCGTGGCGAAGTTCATCCAATGGTGGCTCTCAAACAATATCGTCACCATTCAGGGATTCGTGATGCTAAACTTCTTGTGGTTGCCATGACATCAAATGACGTCGCTATTGCTGACCCAGATGATCCTGGAATGCTTGTTATAGCTGGCTTTGACTCTGCTGCAACACAAGTGATGAGAGAGTTTATCTTGGGGAATTTTTAGAAGTTTTTAGTGAACATCTCTGTATTTTCTCTATAACGAATGTCCTCATTAAGATATGACAAAAATTCATAATTTTTGATGGCTCAAGTTGAATGTTGCATGTGGTCAATCTCCCTGTTATGGCATTTTTCCTAAAAAAAAACTTTAGCAAAATACGGGAAAATTAAAAGCAGGATAGCCAACAGTCTGGACTACATGCCGTGTTTTATTCATTTCTACAATAAACTTCGTTATTTGTACCAAGTCAATTTGTCAATTTATCCATATTTTTCATGCCTTGCCTTACAAAAGACAATTTTTGCAATTATTCGCGAGTTGTCAGTTATTTAATGATAAGCTTTTCGTCTTGAGAGAAGAATTTTTTATCAGATTATTTTTATTTTGATGGCTATTTAAACTACAAATTAAACACAAATGCAGTAAACCAAATCATTAATCTCATAATTTTGGTCAACAACAACTTACTCCTAATGCAACTGGTCTTTGCATGTTGTCAATCACATTTTTTCCTAATTTTTGATCGTTTAGCTCTACAAAAAAAAATGGCTCAGGAGTCGGGAAGCTATGTATGTTCGGAAACTTCCGATTTTTAGATTGTGAGCATTTTTTATAAGATTTGATAAAAATTGAATACTTGGTTTATACAGATGTGCCAACTTTTTAATGAGGGTGACATATGCAGTTAAACAAAAAAAAATCGAATTAAATATCAAAAAATTTATCACACCAGTTTAACTATTGTGAATTACCACACAGTTAGCATGACACAAACACAACTTTTCGAAGCCCTTGCGGTTGAATGTATTGTTTTACATGCAAGTGTTTATTATATATTTCTGGGCTTGTTTTCTTGTTGTACCGACAGAAAATCCCAGAAGAAAACAGGTGTCTGCTCGAAATATCAAGGTGTATGTAACAACTAAACCTAGTCAATGACAGAAATGAAAAGAAAGCATCATATTTTTCCACCAAGTTGCTATGTCAAAATTGTGTAAATTCTATCATTTGTGGTTTAATTGTTGCTTTATTGCATTTAGTCATATTTTTCATTAAGTTTAATGTCTTCAAGCTTTAATAATCGTATAGAAGTCGTAGTTAACATGAAAAAGTGCATTTTTAATCTTTTAGCATTATAAGAGTAACTCGTAGCTATTTTTGTGGTGTGTCACAGGCAATATTTACAGTCAGTCAACTTCCAAGGTTGATAACTAACCACAGTTGCATACACTTTGTGGTGTGTCACAGGCAATATTTACTGTCAGCCAACTTCAAGGTTGATAACTAACCACAGTTGCATACACTTTGTAGTGTGTCACAGGCAATATTTACTGTCAGCCAACTTCCAAGGTTGATAACTAACCACAGTTGCATACACTTTGTGGTGTGTCACAGGCAATATTTACAGTCAGATAACTTCCAAGGTTGATAGCTAACCACAGTTGCATACACTTTGTGGTGTGTCACAGGCAATATTTACTGTCAGCCAACTTCCAAGGTTGATAACTAACCACAGTTGCATACACTTTGTGGTGTGTCACAGGCAATATTTACTGTCAGCCAACTTCAAAGGTTGATAGCTAACCACAGTTGCATACACTTTTTTATTTAATTTGAACAATAGCATTTTGATCATAGTCTCTTATTGCTAAATTCCGCCCTAAATTTTCATCGTCTTTTTTCTTTGATTTTTTTTTTCAGACAAAAGTAAAAAAGATGAAGAAATTAAAGTTATTGCAACACTTGAAAACAAGAGAATTAGTTCTTACAGTTCAACGCAATATCTCTATCGGTTGGTAAATATGCAAAAGTGCACTACCTTCAACCTCTTGTGTGTATTAATTATAGCCGTAGAGCATCTTGCAAATCAAGGTAATGTTTGTTATATACTTCGTCATAAAAGTTGAATATTTTAAGAACATGTACATCTTTCTATTTCAAGCTGGAGAAAATTATTAAAGCGAGTCGTATAGGGTAGCCGTAAGTATGTTTACAAAAGTAAGGCGTTTTAAAGAAAATTCTTATACTCCACTGTTATTTGGTTATCACAACATTACCGTACACTAAACATGGTTACTCTGGGTCATTTGATGTCTTCCACGTATATTTAAGGATATATTTCTGGAAAAAGATTGGAGAAGTGTTTTAAGTCGCTCTGTTTGTGATTTTTTCTTTAAAGCTCAAGGAAAGGTGAACGAGTTTATGTGTAAATTGTTGGTTATTGACAATTGTTTGTTGGTGCTTGTTTGTTTGAGAAGTTTAAAGTTACTCTAATGAACAGTTGCTATTATAGATTCGTCTCACAAAAGTGCATCTACGCAGATCAAATCAACTATCGTCATTCATTTTAAGGTCACGAAGACATTCCTCCAGTAATTGCAACAGGATTTTGTTATCTGTCATGATCTCTTATTTTTTTCTGTTGTGGAAAATGAAGGTTTGTGTTTGTTTGAAATGATCGATTAATATTGCTTATTTAGGTTATTTTGAGCCCATTGCCTCTAATTGAAAGAGATTGATTGCCAGTCTTGATTGCAAGAATACAGCATATATTGCAAGGAAATGTTATCATTCAACGTTTCCAGAAACCGTGTTATTTCCTTTGATTAAACTTAATTTTGTATTCATGCAGGCTTTATAAATGTCATCTCCAAATCTTTGTCTTACTTAAAATGTTGTTACATGTTACATTTTTCATGTTGCATGAGGCATCATATCTACAGTGAACATTACAAGAAATGTACATTCGTTCTAGATTTGACAACGATTCTACTGATTATTTCCAAAATTGCTTGTAACTTGCGACTTGTATCGTGAGCGTTTTGTTTTGGAGACTTTCTTTATGTGATCTCTCCAGTGGATCTATCTTTTCTCACTGCCTCGTTCTTTGATTTCTACCTGTCTCGACAATACTCAACCTAAACCATCTTAAACAAAATTAAATTCATAGCCGCGTAAATTACCTTTTTGTAACAGCTGTTTTAATAATGGTTTTTCAAAACAGGCAGCGTCACAAATAGCACCTGCTATGACAGCGCCTTTTTGTTAAAATGCTGCACTTTTCTCTCCACAGGATCTTCGTTCTTATGTGACGACTGATTCCTTATCTATCTGCTAAAAACTGCTTCTCACAGAGATATACATCTTCAGATACTGTTTTCATAAGTTGTTGAAACATGTCTAAAATTTGATCAAGTTGTTTTTAAAACTGTCAGAAATTACGCATCGATTTTTAAGACTGACATAAAGAGAGAAAACTGCGTGTCAGTTTTCAATTTAAATACTAATGATTGAAAATTTTAAATAAACATGGCAATTTATTAAACTTTCTATTTCGGGGACTTCCATTGGTAGACGACCGTCGTCATGGATTTACCTGCAAACGTTTGTTCATAATTCCCGACACTCGCTAAGTTACATCATTTGGCAGGAAGACGTTTTACAACGAAGACAAATTTAAAAAGTAAGTTTTATCAATAAATATCGACTTAAGAAGAATTATAGGATATACAAAATACTCTAGTTTAACTTTAGAGACATAGTAAAAATATGAAATGCTCATGGTTTAGAATAAGTCTTTCTTATTTCCTCCGCCACGTGTTTATTCGTTTTTTAATTTGAAATGACAAAACAGACGATACATGAACAATTTTATTTATATGGCTTTGAATTGGTCATTGGAAATGTATTGCATTCCCATAATTTTCTTAAGACGAACATCGTCTATCAAAAACGGCATTTTCACGACTTTAAACCGCCATAAAAATGGAATAATTTGATCAAATCAAAAACTTTTTTACTGATACACTAGAAATCGCACTTAAGTTTAATGTCGCCAATGATATATGGCCCTTAGATGTAAAATTTGTTTATGTAGCAAATGAAAATCGTAAAATCACATGTAAGCCACTGTCAAACATGAATAGCCAGGCGTTGTGTATAGTATGATGTCGTTTTATACACAAACACGAAAAATACAATTATTTGTTAAATGATATAAATTATTTGAAAGAATGCAAACAATTCGTTTTATTTAAAGCTGTAAAACTACATGTGTGGTGTCTCAAACATGATGAGTATTGTATAGGGCCATTTGTGCTGAAGACGAGAGGCATTAATAACCAACTAGGGAAAACGGGGCTGTTTAATTAAGTCCACTTCTAAAAGTGTTTATTTAAATTTTTTTCACTTTTTTGGTTACATATGGTTACAAATGAAGTGGTTACATACAAACCTATTTTGAGAAAATGAGACAACATTATTCATTACCAAGAATTGGTTTCCTAGCACAATGCATTATCACTATAGGTTGGTAAATATGCAAAAGTGCGCTACCTTCAACCTCTTGAAGTATGGGTTTTTCTGATGTGGTGACGCTTCATATTATCACCGACGCTTTATGTTAATTTCTAAATAAACATGGCAATTTATTAAACGTTTTTATTTCAGGGAATTTCATTGGTAGACGACCGTCGTCATGGATTTACCTGCAAACGTTTGTTCATAAATCCCGACACTGGCTAAGTTACATCATTTGGCAGGAAGACGTTTTACAACGAAGACAAATTTAAAAAGTAAGTTTTATCAATAAATATCGACTTAAAAAGAATTATAGGATGTACAAAATACTGTAGTTTAACTTTAGAGACATAGTAAAAATATGAAATGCTGATGGTTTAGAATAAGTTTTTCTTATTTCCTCCGCCACGTGTTTATTCGTTTTTTAATTTGATACGACAAAACAGACGATACATGAACAATTTTATTCATATGGCTTTGAATTGGTCATTATAGTTATATATTTAAGTTAGGACACATTCGTAGTTTGACCGAAGTTTCATGATCTTCTTCAAACTCATCGGAGTTACTTCTATGTACAAATCCTCCGATGATACTTATAACAGTGAACTATTTTATTGGAAAAATAAAAAATATAAATGCGATAACTATACAGTAATTCAATGGCATTGGGAGTTTTTTGTTGCGTTTTTAACCACAAATAAGGTTACGGATATCGTTGGGAGTAAATCTCGTTGATAACAAGTTTTCAAGATTGGCTATGACGTGTGAAGAGACCTTCATATAGTTATGCGTCACATGAATTTATTTGTTTAAATGAAGTGGATTTAATGTTTATTTTATTAGCCACTGCTTGGTCTATTCCATTCAATCAGCATATCCAAATTAAAAATTTTTCTCGTAATACTTTTTATTTTCTACAGTTATGAAATGTTTAATAATTTGTTAATAAACAAGCGTTTACAAAACAATTGCAAGAACAAGTAAGAAAGTATAGAGAAAATGAATGAACATTTATCTGTTATAAGAGCTCACCATGGCAGAGATTTTCGTATGCTAAAATATGGTGAAAACTGGAAAGTAAATTCTAGTTAAATACGAAAACGTATTTTATTATGATCATTATTATCTATTACAAATATAAATGTTAAAAAACTGAATCAAATAATCAAATATGACTAAAATCAGTGTTTAAAAATATCCATGATAAAGGGACAGTCAAGTGTAAAGACAACTTTCCCAATAACCTAGGTCAATATTTAAAGTATGTTCGCGAGTTGAGGCAGATCGACTTCCTCGTATCGCAGTAATTGCTGACCTAATGAGTATGAAAGACAGTTTACAACGCATCCACGCTAGCGTTATGCCATATTGCAGCTTTCTCTTTTGTGCTAGCAGATCAGCTAGCCGTTTATAAGCAATTGCCGTCTTTTTCCCCATACCACCTGATGTTGAAAAGACCAGTGGTGTAAAAGCAGCATATTCAATCTCTCTTATGAGCACACGCAAGCAAATTTTCTTAGGAAAAGAATATGCTTGGAAATGATTTCAATACTTAGAGTTATAGGCTGATAAGTTTATTTCAAAAGGTGAAGCACCTTATTGATGAGAATTAGAACAATGAACCTTTTGAGATAATTTATCATTAACCAATTATCTATGCTGCATTACTGCAATCTTGAATAGATTAAATGCAACTTTTATCAAATGTATATCTTTTGAAGCTTCCAAAGATTCAATCATGCGCTTTTTCCGTATACTATCTAACTAAGGCCGACGGATTATAAGAATTTGATTCTTGGTGCGTCTTGTGATTTTCTTTTGACACAGATTCATCGCGCTGTAGACCTAAACTTTGTGGTTTATAATAAGTTTGTCATGTAAGTTTCAATTTACAATGCATTGTGACGTGTGGGTACCTCCCTATTTGGAAACTACATACGAATTAAGATTGGACTGCACCGAGGGCTTTGTACTACGAGACATTTTAAAATTTTTTGATCCTGTTCAACCTCATATACTTCTTTTTTAAAAAAATTGGCGCCTTTATTTTGTTGTTTGAGTTATCTGTTGGCAACGGTTTTTTATTTTTTAATTAATGCACTGTGAATCAGTCAACCTGTCATTTGTAATCGTAATTAAAATATCTTATTGTTTGTTTATTTAATGTAGAAAAAAGTCGAGAGAAAGTAAGTCCACTTCCTAAAGGTTGGTATATTTATGCAGCATATTTACAAAGATAAAGTTGTTTGGTGTTGCTATTTTATTTACCTGTGTAATCTAGAATTATAATGTTCTTGGACTTGTGAGACATGTAGAAACTAAAATATGACTGTTTAGGTTATTTCAGGCTTGCTGTCCAAATATTTTATACATATGGTTAGCCCAAATGTGTTATCGAATAATGTACACTTTACGAAAAATCGACAAGAAAACGGGCTGTTCAATTAGGTCCAATTCTAAAAGTGTTTATTTAAAAAAAATTCATTTTTTATGGTTACATTATGCTTTTTTACACTTAATTATATCTACATTGACTCTTAATTCATGTAGTTCCCTGGACGAATCACGTTTTTTCATGGAAGAGTTTTTGTGTCAGTGCAGCAAATGTTCTAGTCCGTTGGTTAATGATAACTATTTTCTCTCATAAAGTCCGTCCCTTTTAGTTTTCTTTTTATTTTGATGTTTTTAAAAAGTGATAACCATGCAGACTGAAACAGTTGGATGATATTGGAGGATTTCTTTGCGCTTTTAATTACAAGGAAATTCACCATATTTCTGAATCATAAAGCAGGGTGAAAGTAAACGTTTATAAAAATTTCCAGTTGTGTAAACCGATGGTTTTGAGCTTTAACACATATAATGTGCATCTTTCTCTTCTTTCTCATAATCAATTTTTACATATTACAGATACTGATATGACAAATTAATGAGAAATTACTTTGAAGAAAAGAAACGTTTAACGACTGTCCAGCATGATTTCTGCTAAAATGTCTCGCGGTAAGTTGACCCTGTTATGTTGTAAAGATGAAAAATATTACGCGTTGACTTGTTGCCACGTTGGTTTGTCAATTCATTTGGAGTGGAATGATGACTTTGTTGCGATTCAAGATGAAAGTAGTGAAAACAAAGAAAGCATTCAGCGTTTATTGCATAAAAATAAATATACTTTCTCGGATGATGACAGCGTGGTTGGTCATTTTTCTGACTTCTCTTATGGTCCTGATATCGATATCATGTCTATCACTGTTGGCAATGAAGAGGATTTTCAGAAGCTTGTTGGTGATGAATTGGAAGATGTTGATTCAAACTTTGATGACGTATTTAGCAAAATTCACGAAAGGCTATGCCAAGAGGAATCTGTGATAGTTCGCACAGACACTGGTACTGAGGGCTACTTGTGTGAACTTATGTATTCAGTTTTTGTTGAAAAACATGTGATTTTGCGTAATGTTATCATAATAAAAAGTGATGAGTCATTTCTTAAGGATGGTGACGCTGGTGTTCTTGTTTATTTTTTGGATGAAAAAAATAATTGGCAACCGTTTGCGTATGGAATTGCAGAAATAACTAATAATCACGGGACATATTATGCCTGCATGAGATTAAACATCGCCTTAAAAGCACTCGGCCTTCAGGGTGGTCAGTTTTTTAAACCGAAGAACAATGGTGACCATCTATCCGTTAGTGATAAACACATCGTCGACGGCACCGCATTGAACAACACCAACCGTGACGACAATAGTCGCACTGCCTCTTATAAAGGTAAAAAGTTGTTTCATTTTATTTTCCTTCAAATTTTCTTTAATATTTTACTGGTCGAAACGTTTTTAATATGACAACGGTAATGACAATTGATAATACAATATAAATAACGTCATACAAGTATAAAAAAATATACATATAGCAATCGACTTTTTGACTATCAATTTTTCATGCTTTTGTGTCTTTGTGATGTTTTAGAGAAAGTTGACGAGAGAACATATCACGAACATGAACAAGGTAAGCATAGTGGAAATCATCATATTATTGTTTGAGTTGAATATTTTAGTAAAATATAAACTACACTTTTCACTATTGTAGATGTTTAAACAGATGCAATATAAAATACTTTAAATGTAGATATGATCTTCGCACTTTGTTGGACAATTTAAGCAATTGTCTCATAAACCTGAAAAAAATTCAGGTGACTCAACGGGATAAAACATTCTTTCGTATGAAATACTTTGCAGCTTTTGGTTATTCGATGAAAACAACAATGCTCTCAACACTTTCTTTTCTGTGTTGACAGAAGACATTTCGATAATTATTTTCGATGGTCATAATTTGCTTATTTTAGAAACTATAGCAAAATAGTAAAAATCAGTAACAAATCTGTAGTTTGCTACAGATTTTCATCCGATTTTTCGAGTCCGGCGACTTTCCATGTATGACAAGAATACGTAATATGGCGTCAGTGTCGGTCCGACAAATCGTTGTGTGTAAACGTACCTTTAGAAACTACGTCATGTGCTTTACCAAATACATAAACAAACATTGATTTTTAAGTAGAGTGTGGTTACAAGTATCTCTGAGTGTTTCGATGAAAAATAGAATAATGAAGTTGTTAATATTACTATTTTTGAAAAATTTTCTTATTGTGTTACTAATAATAATAAATTTGAGTCGCAACTGTAATACTTTTCTTATAATTCACAGCCAATTAACGTTAACAGGATTAGAATAGTTAAATTTCAATTTTTTGCAATTTTTTTTTGCAGTCTGTTTGCAATAGTTACTGTTATGTTAATTATGTTGATAATATTTATTGCTCTTTTTACTGCAGCGGCACACATTTATTCAAGCCAACTTGAAATTGCTGAGAAAACGGACAACAAAATACTCAAACTGAAGTTTCTAGCCCAGATGCATATCAATGAATATCACAATTTGGGTAAGACACTATTTAAAATATAAAGCTAATTGTTTGCAATAAAAATGTTAGATATCGAATCCACATTCCTGTTGATTATCTAAAGGTAAAAGGTAGGTCCCTTTATCGCAGTTTATGTAGCAAACGTACTTTGAAACCACGATTTGTGCTTGCACTTGAAACTAACAGAGCCAGAGGCGTACTGAAATTTTAGACTGATGAAATCTTTTACACCACATTAATATTAGAATTATTGAAATGTCTATTGACTATTTGACTATTTTTTATATTTTGCTAAATGGCATACAATTATTTTAAGTTGGGTTGTCGGAAGAATGGAATTGCGTTGACAAATCAGTGATGCATCGCGAAAAGTTTGAAATGATGCAAAAACATTGGCTTGAACATCCAGGTGATATTAGAATTAAAGGCGATGTACGTGTGATTTTCAAGGAAAAGTTCTTGATTGGCGAAGGAAGTGATGGAACCGTTTATCTTGGTTTGGGAAAGGATGGTTATGGAAAAGCTGTAAAACGAATCCTTAATAATAGATGTATCCATTCTGCTCTACGAGAAAAGAATGTTTTGAATGAGCCAAACGCAAAGGAGTCGAAACATGTTGTAAAGTATTGGAACTTCGTAAAAGAGGAAGGAGAAGATTTTGTCTATTTGATATTAGACTTGTGTGAACAAACTTTGACAAGTTTTGTTGAGTCTACTAGTTTAGATACACTTCAAGAAACCCTTCCCGAAATCCTTAGACAAATTTTAAATGGATTATCTGATCTTCATAATGGTCCAAATTCTATTCTTCATCGGGATTTAAAGCCTTCTAATGTTCTTCAAGACGTGAAAGGCAAATTTATGATAGCTGACTTTGGCTTTAGTCGAATATTGAAAAGTAAATCAACACATCAAAGCAGTCCTGGTACAGGCAGTTATGGTTGGTCCGCTCCTGAATGCTTTGGTGAGGGTCGTTACAAGAAAGAGTCTGATATAATGGTAGATATGCTCGTTAAAAAATATATAGCTATTGTTCAGCTCTGCAAATAACGAATAAACTCAATTTTTTAGCATTTCCGTATCTACAGTTGATGTTCTGACTATTTATGGTTTTTTTTTATGAATATTAGAGTACAGGAATGGTGGCTTATTATGTTGCAACAAAAGGGGAACATGCTTTTGGAACTGAAGAGAATATATTGAAAAACTTAATAAATGGAAACCCTGTTGGCTTAAAAAAAATCGATGATGTTCAACTTAAAGATCTTCTTTCATGGATGCTACAGCATAAGCCTGAACTCAGGCCATTAGCCAATGTGGCGTTAAAACATCCTTATCTACAATCCAATGAGGAAAAGTTTGACATGCTGTGTGATGTTGGAAACCAACCGGAGATAAAACAACCAATATGTCGAAATTCAGATGTTCGTAAGCAGTTGGACTGTCCCACAGAATGGATGAATTGTATCGATGATGAAGTTTTGAAAGATTTAACAACATATGAAGTAAACAACAAAAAAAGGACTGTAACCTACGAGTCTTCATGGGCAAGTTGTTTGAGATTCATACGTAACGTTGATCAGCACTGGCATGATAAATCTCGTTCACGTCTATCGTCATATATCAAGGAAGGCAACTATAAAGAGTATTTCATGCAACGTTTTCCCGAACTTCCTCTACTGGTGTACAAAATTATTAGATCGACTGACTGGAAAACAAGACCTAATCTCAAAAAACATTTTACCTGTAAGCTATTTAAATAATACCCCATTTTTACGACTTAGCCATGTTAGAGTTTCATGCATACTAACATACTTCTCTGTCACATTGAACTTTTTTTTCTACTCTGTAAGATGTATGTTTTAAGCATTGTATAAATGATTCAACCTTCTCAACGTTAAATAAAATTAAGTTCTATATTTTCCCGTTGCAAACGTTTTTAGGAAACATAAATCCTGTGAAAATTGAAGGAAGTCAATGGAAAGGCAATTGAAGATATTATTGAGAACCGTAATCTTGATGGAAAATGAAGTATAACCAACTCTTAACTTATCATGTGCCACTTTCAAATTGTTAATTTGAACAACGACCAAGAAATTGATTTATAAATTCATATCAAGGATTACTTACATGTATAGTCACTAAAGTATGGATTATTAATAGACTTAAATTCGATCATATATGTGTGTAAAGGTCTCAATAGATGTAGGACATGAATGCATGAAAAGCAATTAGGGAAATGTTGTATTAATTATAGTCGTAGAGCATCTTATTAACAATTTTTTGTTGGTGTTTGTTTGGTTGAGAAGTTTAAAGTTACTCTAATGAACAGTTGCTATTATAGATTTGTCTCACAACAGTGCATCTACGCAGATCAAATCAACTATCGTCGTTCATTTTAAGGTCACGAAGACATTTCTCCAGTAATTGCAACAGGATTTGGTTATCTGTCATGATCTCTGATTTTTTTCTGTTGTGGAAAATGAAGGTTTGTGTTTGTTTGAAATGATCGATTAATATTGTTTATTAATGTCTATTTTGAACCCATTGCCTCTAATTGAAAGAGATTGATTGTCAGTCTTGATTGCAAGAATACAGCATATATTGCAAGGAAATGTTATCATTCAATGTTTCCAGAAACTGTGTTATTTCCTTTGTTTAAACTTAACTTTGTATTCATGCAGGCTTTATAAATGTCATCTCCAAATCTTCGTCTTAATTAAAATGCTGTTACATGTTACATTTTTCATGTTGCATGAGGCATTGTATCATATCTTCAGTGAACATTACAAGAAATGTACATTCGTTCTAGATTTGACAACGATTCTAGTGATTATTTCCAAAATTGCAAGTAACTTGCGACTTGTATCGTTAGCGTTTTGTTTTGGAGACTTTCTATATGTGATCTCCCCTGTGGATCTATCTTTTCTCAGTGCCTCGTTCTTCGATTTCTGCCTTTCTCGACAATACTCGACCTAAACCATCATAAACAAATATAAATTCATAGCCGCGTAAAATACCTTTTTGTAACAGCTGTTTTAATAATGGTTTTTCAAAACAGGCAGCGTCACAAATAGCACCTACTATGACAGCGTCTTTTTGTTAACAGGCTACACTTTTCTCTCCACTTTTCTTTTCTTTTCTTTTCTTTTCTTTTTAAATTATGTTTAATTCATTTTGTTTGTCTATTTCATAATTATAAATAATTCTTGCATGTTTTTTTGTTTTTTGTTTAAGCATTGGTCAGCAAACACGTTGTAACGATACATGAACTATACAGAATAACTTTTTTCTTGTTTGTTTTTATTAACTTTTCGTTAGCAATAATATTTAGTCTTTCCATATGATCATGTAAAATGTTAGAGTTTGATATTTTTCTCGAGAGTTTTTAGTTGTTTTTTTTTAGTCGATGAAAAGCAAAATTCATAAGAATCGATGACAAGAAAATCACGGTCCATCATGCATCTCTATTTCTAAATACGTTTTTCAAAACAAAATAAAATTGGCTAAAAGCAAAGCACCTCTCTTGTATGTACGTATTACATGGTATTTTATACGTCATCATTTTTCATTTATAATTGTTTGAGATTCTTTTACATTTTATTGACTTGTTTTCTTTGACGATGAAGACGAAAATCTTTATGATCATCAAATGAAGATTAGCCATGCGAGTGTTTAGTAGACTGGGGACTAGTAAGATTAATGTAATTTTTTTGTAAATGGAAACATCGTCGTTAATAGATTTAATACTCTCTAGCAATAATATAAATAAAATTAATAAATATTTACGAAATGAACTCACATGAAAATAGTTTAATAACCATCAAAGTTAGTTAAGTAAACGAGAAATATTATAGGTTTAGTATATGTAGATATCAAAATGATTCACAGTTTGTTTTTCATCAACGCTTCAATGTGAGTAGATATGATATATACAGGGGCGGATCTAGAGTATGTCAAATCCGTCGCGCGACTGATGTTTGAAATTCAAAAATTACCTATTCATATTAATTAAAAATTCATTAATTATTCTTATTTTCTTATCGTATTTACTTCGTGATAAAAATCCCGCATTATTTATTATTGAAAACTAATGACTAATCCAATGAATATCTCGTTGGTGACCAGATCAGTTGAATTTTAATTGACCTGGAATAACCGACTGATAAGCGGGGTGGCTTGACTGGTTCGACGGATAAAGGAGTCTATGAACGTCAAAAACGCTTATTTTATTGGTCAATAGCCAGATCAGTGGACAGTCTGGAATGGTCTCGACTGATAATAAGGGTGGCCGGACGTATAAGGAGTCCAATTGCTATCTTACAATTGGTTCATTTGAATTTTGCTTTATTGTGATTGGTTTGACGGATTTCGACTGATAGCCAACTGAACTAACATAGTCCAGCTCACTGTCTGAATTGAATGTTTGATCGTTTTATAGTAATTTTTATAAGCATGATAGAAACTAAACTACAATCAGATGGAATTTATGGAATTCTTTTACAAATTCATATATTGACATGAATGCTGCTGTCCAAAATGTGAATTTTTCAAGAGGAAATTTATGGATAAATTTTAAATGCTTGGCAAAGACGATCTCGCGAGCGACATTTCAGTCATTGATGTTCAAAAGAAAGCCAACATTGTTTTGAGTTTTATCAGCAGAAATTTACATCCAAAATCGTAAGTAAAGGACAAGTGAAGTGTATGCATGAATGTAATATATCAAAGTCAATTATGGAGTGTGTGATGCGATTTATGTCAATATGGCATGGTAAGCAGATCGATGCTTCTAAAATTGTTGTTGACGAAGGACTTTTAGCTATGATTTCTTTAGTGCTTGGAGAATCGTGGCCGTTATACGGCAGCGAAATCCTACATTCCTGCAAATATATTTCAATGGACGAAAAATCTGTAGCCATAAGGCGCCATACTATTATTTACTTTATCATAAACAAATGTTTGGGGTTTTTCAGTTTATGATCATTGATCATTCAATCATTGGACAGTTATACTACATATTGTTTAAGATTTGAGAAAACTAACATTGATTACATGAGAAGCTGTTTACTATAACCTGTGATTTTGAGTCTTCTGACCCATGAAGCTTTTTATTTTGATAATTTGACTGGAATGGTATTAAACCTGAGTATTTCACATACATGGAATGTTGTCCCATGTCACATATTGTCCCCTTTTCTAACTGAACACCTCACGTAGAGATGTAAAGGTGTGTTAATTTACGGCTCATACCTGATTGTTTGCCATAAATTCCAAAGGGCTATTGATGTATGAAAAGCATTTTCTATAAAGTAAAAATGTCTTTCTATGTATGCAGATAAACCTTGAAATTTGGCAAAACAGCAAAGTATTTTTCATGATCACTAGGTAATTTTTCTGATGATCATTATAATTTCTAAACTAAATTATTTCTGATTTACATTTAAACAAGCTTTGATCATATGAAAAGATATTTATCATAACCAGTAAGCATGACACATGAACCAATTTTAACATTCATGTAATTATATAATTAAAGACATGTTGGTTACATTCTGTTTGTATTTGCAAATACAATTCTACTAGTGATTGCTATATAGCACACCTTGCATATACTTACAGGAGATAATATTCTAGTGAAATGCCTAATAAACATTTATGGCATTAAGCTGTCCTTAACTGCAAATTTTCACTCTGATAATTTTGCTTAACCTTTGGCAGAACAAAATTTTGAGTTTTTTCTCAAAAGGTGAATTTGCTGGCACTGATGTGGAGATGGGTAAAGGGTTACAATAAACTTGCATGGTTTGAAGTCTGAGCTTTTCTATATCTATGAACTGTCACTTGTAGTACCAAATTTCTAACTTAACTAAACTCATTACATAGAGGTTTGAATGGGGGTCTCTAGGGGGGTCTATGCCTGACAACTTGGTAGAAATGTTTAAAGACTATATCTGTTTTTTAATAGCATTATTGTAAAATAAATTTTACGTTCCTAGACATGCTAATGAGCCATATATTTGGCATGATAATGAGCCTAAATATTTGGCAAACATTCAAGTATTGTTCACTTCATTTTTTTTTTTTGAAAAAAACGTAAGCAAAATGTGTTGCTTTTACGCAAAAACGATGCCCACAAATACATTTTGTATTGCTCTAAAACGCTGAAAATAGCATTTTCAAGGCTCTGAAATTCAAAATTTCTCAGGGGAGAATGCCTCATACCCCCCCAGGTGCGGAGCGCCTTCGACGTTTTATGACTGATGTTTGAAAAATCCTAGATCCGCCCCTGGATATATATGATGGATATATATGGGTTAATGTTTTTTATAGATCAAATTTCCTCTCTAGGCCCTTGTTGGTTTGTTAGTTTACACCGATCATTTATGCAGTTTAGGAACTTGTGTTTGATTGCTGTTGATGGCAGACGTTTGTGGCTGTTCAAAAGACGTCAGGCCATGGAAAAATAATAAGTTTTATTATCGACTGAAGAAAGTAACTGGGGACAAGTAAGATGAATGTTTTGATTTTTTTTAAATGAAAACATCTTTATTAAATGTTAGCCAAAATATAAATATTTACAAAATGAACTTAAATGGAAATAATTTTATGCAGGTAATGGTTAATGGTTATAGATAAAATTTCCCCTTCAGGCTCTTTTGTTGGTTTTGTGCATATTAGCTTGTAATTATTCAAGTATGTAATTTATAATTAAATTTGAATGAGATATAGTGAGATAAGTTGCAGTAAAATATTAAATGAAAGCTTGAACAAGGGCTACAGAGTGAAGGCTTATTTTTATTTGTGGTATCACCTGACATGATTAATGCAATTATACTAAGATAAAACGAAAAATGTTATGACATTAAATAGTCCAGTAAATGAATGTCCGAGGTTAGATAAAAATGATGTTATGGGTAATTGTGGGATATATTTCTGGAAAAACATTGGAGAAGTGTTTTAGGATTTGTTTGTGATTATTTCTTTGAAGCTCAAGGAAAAGTGAATGAATTTATGTGTAAATTGTTGGTGATCGATATGAAGGTATCAAGCACTTCTCTCTCTCGGGCAGTCAGTTGGTACGACTAGGACTGTTTATTGTTTGGGTTTGCTTTTGATGGCCGATCTCCAAGCTGCTCTGTTTCTTGCGGCCGTCTTCCAGTTGTTAGGTAGGATCTGTCTCACTTTCATGTGTCGTTTTACGACGTCTTTGTATCTGAGTCTGGGTCTTCCTTGGTTTCTCTTCCCTTCGCATAGTTGTGAGAACAGCAGTTGTCTTGGGAGTCTTTCCTGAT